GAGAGAGGGAGAGGCCGAGAGAGAGAGAGGCCGAGAGAAGGAGAGGCCGAGAGAGGGAGAGGCCGAGAGAGAGAGAGGCCGAGAGAAGGAGAGGCCGAGAGAGGGAGAGGCCGAGAGAGAGAGAGGCCGAGAGAAGGAGAGGCCGAGAGAGGGAGAGGCCGAGAGAGAGAGAGGCCGAGAGAAGGAGAGGCCGAGAGAGGGAGAGGCCGAGAGAGAGAGAGGCCGAGAGAAGGAGAGGCCGAGAGAGGGAGAGGCCGAGAGAGAGAGAGGCCGAGAGAAGGAGAGGCCGAGAGAGGGAGAGGCCGAGAGAGAGAGAGGCCGAGAGAAGGAGAGGCCGAGAGAGGGAGAGGCCGAGAGAGAGAGAGGCCGAGAGAAGGAGAGGCCGAGAGAGGGAGAGGCCGAGAGAGAGAGAGGCCGAGAGAAGGAGAGGCCGAGAGAGGGAGAGGCCGAGAGAGAGAGAGGCCGAGAGAAGGAGAGGCCGAGAGAGGGAGAGGCCGAGAGAGAGAGAGGCCGAGAGAAGGAGAGGCCGAGAGAGGGAGAGGCCGAGAGAGAGAGAGGCCGAGAGAAGGAGAGGCCGAGAGAGGGAGAGGCCGAGAGAGAGAGAGGCCGAGAGAAGGAGAGGCCGAGAGAGGGAGAGGCCGAGAGAGAGAGAGGCCGAGAGAAGGAGAGGCCGAGAGAGGGAGAGGCCGAGAGAGAGAGAGGCCGAGAGAAGGAGAGGCCGAGAGAGGGAGAGGCCGAGAGAGAGAGAGGCCGAGAGAAGGAGAGGCCGAGAGAGGGAGAGGCCGAGAGAGAGAGAGGCCGAGAGAAGGAGAGGCCGAGAGAGGGAGAGGCCGAGAGAGAGAGAGGCCGAGAGAAGGAGAGGCCGAGAGAGGGAGAGGCCGAGAGAGAGAGAGGCCGAGAGAAGGAGAGGCCGAGAGAAGGAGAGGCCGAGAGACGGAGAGGCCGAGAGACCGAGAGAGAGAGAGAGACCGAGAGAGAGAGAGAGACAGAGAGAGAGAGAGAGACCGAGAGAGAGAGACCGAGAGAGAGACCGAGAGAGAGAGACCGAGAGACAGACCGAGAGAGAGAGACCGAGAGACAGACCGAGAGAGAGACCAAGAGAGAGAGAGACCGAGAGAGAGAGAGACCGAGTTGCACCATATACAGTGCGTTCCGGTGCGGTTCAAGCCTGGAACGCACTGTATCGTATTGATCAAGTCGGGCAGCGTTCTGGGGCGGGAGGGGGCGTGTCGGTGCCATTCAGGCCCTCCGTTCTGTTGCAGTGCAATCTGAAAAAATGCTGCATACACTATATTTTCAGATTGCACTGCACCGGAACTAAGGGCATTCCTGTACCACGTGTTCTGGTGAAGGTGATCGCACTGTTGGCAGGGGGTGCGCCTGCGGTGCCATTGACATGAATAGCACAGACACGCTCCCTCCCACCCAAGAACTCTGCCTGTCTTGATCTATGCGATCCAGTGCATTCTGGATATGGTGTGACTGGGCCCAGAGAGGGAGAGGGGGAGAGAGAGAGATGAGGAAGACCATATATTTGCATAACATTTACATAAACATGAATACAGTTTCTCTAGTAATGAGGAAACACTATAGACAGAATGAACAAAAAGAGACAGAAAAAAATCTCACCTTTCTTTTTACATCTGGGTCTGCCTGATTAATCTTTTCATACCAAGTTTCAAACATTCCATCTTTGCATTCCTCTAACCACTGAAGGTTCTGCCTGTAATCTGCCCTTTCATCATCTTCTTCCCGCGGACTGAAATATAAGTAAAATTATTTTTTTTTAAAGGCGCTTGCAATCAGAGGGGCCTTAGTATGATACAAAGAGAAGAATAATTTTCCATGTCCATTGAGGGACAAAGCTATGAAGAATTCTGAGACGTAGGGTTATGCTGCTGCCTTCAGGAGAAATGGATACTAGGCAAAAAATTAAAGCCTGTCACTTTTAGGCAATAACCCCCTCCTACTTCACACCTGTAGTTGTAGTAAGTAGTATAAAAGGAAATGAGGGTAGGGAGATGTGTCTCTCAATAGACTCCGCGGAAAGGATTTTACAGTAAGAACAAAGTCTTATTTTCTTTATCGTCCATTGAGAGACACAGCTCTGAAGAATTCTGAGATGTCACGTAGGGACATTCAAAAGCAGTGCCAAACAGAGGGGTGGGCATACAAAACAATCCAACGAACCTACCCAACAAAAAAAGAATAAACAAGGGCACTAAATAGTTGCTGAAGAATTTTTCTACCAAAAATATATAATGAAGTGGTGCAGAAGTAGCCACTGATAAAATGTATCAGTTTTAGACAAAGCAGAAACATAAATTAACACACTCTTTCACTTTGGTAATTTCTAACTTACAGGTAGAACACACAAAGACCAGGAGCGGATATATTGTTAGATGTTCCAGCGCATTTGTTTCTCGGCTTGGGAGTAGATACATTTAACAGGCAATGTACTTTTAACCCTGATGCTGCCACCGACGTAAGGCATATGGAAGAACACAACTGCTTCCAGCTGGCCACGTCAGTAAGCCTTACAACATTGGCTTTTACTGTTCTGCTATATGCTCATGGTCACTTTACATCCCTTCCTGTTCATAAATGAGTTTCTCAATGAGTGGAAGCACTCACTACAGAGGCTGTTTCCGATTCATAAGTGGATAATAGTAAATATTTGACGATCTCCAGTTTCTGAATGATTGGAAAGCCTCTGTACTGAGTGCTTTCCATTCATTTAGTGCTGTTTTTCTATTTCAAAATGGAAATGTCATTGGTCTGGTTAGAAGGGTAATACCAGTCGGTAGTGTCACGGCCCTGGACCTGTATGGTACGCTGTGGCTAACTCGACAGCACTACATAACATGTGGTAAGTGCATTGTGGTATATTGCTGTGTATCTGCTGCTACTATGCAGTGCGCGCTGAGGTGTTATTCACAACAAATGCCACCGTAACGCACCTTACAGATATTGTGTTAAAGTGTTACTGCAGTGCAATAGTCTGGGCCCTTAGGCATCAATATATTGGGCATAATTTAAAGGGCCCATTATGCCTTTAAGGGCATAATGGGCCCTTAAAGGCATCAATATATTTTCTTGAAGCTAGCCGAAACCTTTGTACATACTTTATAAAAGCTTGTTGCACACATTGGTCTCTGAAATGCTGTTGTTACACACATCTTTTGGATTGTCATATTTTGGATGTGAAAATAGGGTTTTTTTTTCCCTCCACCCATGTAATGAGTGGAAACCATCCATAAACATTAAAGGAGAACTATGAGGTGAGTGCTTTTCACTCACCTCATAGTTCTAGCCGACCTGTGACAATGAGACTGTCACAGGTTGACTCAGTAGATCGGGAGGTGAGCGAACACATACCGGCATTCACTCACCTCTCGATCCTGTCATGGCTCTCTGCCGTGACAGGGGAGGGGTTGGATTCCCCCCTCCGATCCGCCAGCTCTGACTGGCGGAACAGACGGGGGAGGGGCGGGTACAGCAGAGCCAGCTGTCAGTCACGCAGCTGGGCGGATCCAGACATAATTGTCGGGATCCGCTTCAGCTGCGGCGTCTCAGTATATGGCTGTGATAAAAAAAAACTAGACTAACACGTGTCCCTGAAACATCTTCAGAATATAAGACATTCATAAATTATAGCAACTTACCTTACAATGCTATCATGGGTACTTATATTTTCCTTAGACATGGATAAAAGTAATTCTGGGAGGTCAATGCTGAGGAAGAATGGAAGGTCTTGTGGTTCCCAGCTCATGTCCAGCATGTGAAGTAGTGTAGTCTGCACACACGATAAGGCTGGTAGCAATGACCTGGAGAAACAATATATTCTAAAGTAAGAACTGGGTGTAATTACCTCTTTGATCTTTAGCATTTGAAACAAAAGTGTTAAGTGAGTAATCTAAAGCTGGTAATAGACGGCAAGCACTACCTGGATCAACAAACGGTGATTTAAAAACCTGAACCTGGTGGAAAAGTATTGTCAGAACAATGACTGCATCCTATGAGATGCAGTCGCTGTTCACAGTACCAGTATATTCAAGTAGCCAGGGGTGCGAAATGCAATAGTTGGCAATGGAGATTCCTCTATCACACAATTTAGTGTGGATGGGTGAATCTACTGATTCAAGCCATGTATGGCTACCTTAAGAGTTGTGGCTGGCATGGGAACCACCAATCACTGAAGCTTAGGCATACACAATACTGCTGTAAAACCAGCCAAAACAACAAGCATTTATGGGTTATACGTGACACAGGTAGATGGACAAGGAAACGTTGTAGGTGGACATTGCATCAAAAGCTCAGGTCTAATTATGAGATGGGCCCATAATCTCCCCCCAAATATACCCAGGAAGAAACCATAAAAAACTACCAAGAAGAAAATCTACAAAATATACTTACCTTACACCTCAACATCTGTTCATGGTGCCAATGGTGACATCACAGTTCTTCTGGCAAGGATGAGGAAACACTCAGTGCAGCACTTATATCATTGATGTTTTCGAAGCTAACGGACTGCAGCCAAAGAAGAGTGGCTAAGCTGGTTTTTCCTCAGTGTATGACTGAAATTCTGACCTAGTAAGATACTTGGAAATGGCTTCGATCAAGACAAAAAAAATGAAAAGGATTTTTGTCCTACCTGTAAAATCCTTCTCTTGTAGTACACTACAGGACATAGTATGATATTCAGGAATGTAGGGTTATGTAAACCCCTTCAGGAGATTGGGCACTGGCAAAGCAAAGCTCTTAGAACAGCCCTGTACAACCCCTCCCAGTCACAGCAAGCCTCAGTTTTGTAAGCATGTAATAGTGTGAAGGAATATGGATCAAGAAAATGTCCTTTTCTATGTTTTAAATTGTTTTGAATTAGTTTAATTTGCTTCCTAGCTTTGTGACTTTCCTTACTCAGCTTTTAGCGTTGCTATGCGTAACCAAGAGAGATATCCTGTATTCGGGAGCGCGCCAAGGACACATCGGAGGAATGCCGAGGGAGGACGCTACAAGCAGGAGATATCTTTGACTAACCAATTAGCGAGAGACACGAGACTTTAACTAACAGTTCCTCTAGTTTGCCCAATAGTATAATAACAGAGGTGGGCATATGTGTGACGAGCACTCTCCTGTTATCTGTGTATAAAGGAGAGAGACAGCCCTGAATAAAGCAGAATCTTCATAGACCGTTAATTCTGAGTTTGTGATTTCTCCGGTGCACCGTACACAAAATAATTAGAAACAGCAGCAGACATCTTGTGTGAACCCAGTTGTGGTTCAGATCCATTTCAATAGTTGGTGTGGATCATAAGAAACAGAGATGGGACCTGTGTCCTGTATTCTACTACAAAATTTTTTTTTTTTTAAAGGTAAGACAAAAACCTTTATTTTTATCTGTATATTACAGGACACAGGATGGTATTAAGAAATGTAGCAATATAACTGAGGGGCGGGCAACACAGAAAAAAGGAAACGCCAACAGGCCATGAAACAACAGGTTAACAGAGGGGGCTTAAGACAGCTTACAGAGATGCCTAAAGAACCTTACGACCTGGTAACAAATAACATGAACAGAGGACCAGTTAACAATCTTGCATATCTGAGGAACAGGTTCCCCAAATCTGAAAAGCCCAAGAAATACAAACTTATTTCGTAGAGTGTGCTTTGATAGGGAAAGGCAAAGCCCTGTTCTTAAGAGCACAGGCTTGAACAATGATTTGTCAAATCCACCTGGAGATGGTAGAATGAGATGCAGGCTGTTCCCTGGGTGCTACCCTCAGGAATGACAAAAAGAATGTTGGTTTGTCTAAATGAAGCCGTAACTCAGACGTAGACTCCAACAGCACAAACTGCATCCAGACAATAAAGAGATATCTTCGTAGGATGGTGAGGAGCAGGACATAGAAAAGGCAGGACAACCTTAGGAAGAAACGATGTGTAGACCAGACTAAACTGATTTCATGAAGTCACCCACCCACAGCCCCGGACCTGTAAAGCACTGCAGCTCCCACCCACATTGTTCCTCTGGAACTGAGGGGCGGTTACTTACGCACAAAAAACACTTTAGATTCCAGCGCTGCATCTTCTTCCCAATGAGGTCCAGGCATGGCTTTCAAGGCTACGCCAAGGATCAGCAAAGTTTCAAAATGAGCACTAGGGTCTGTGCAACAGACCAAAGAAACTTACTACAATAATAAAAGCATCTCAAAGCTTCTGGGAGTGGGAGGGGTTATGCACCAATTTGCCAGTGTCAATCTCCTGAATAGTGGCAGCATAATTCATTATTTCTGAATACATGTGAGTGAGTAATGTGCAACAAAGAAATAGATTTTTGTACTCATCGTAAACTCATTATTTCTGAGTCTACTGAGGGACACAGCTTGATGATAATAAGCAACTTAGTGTTATACTGCCACTTACAAGAGAAATATACACTAGGCACAGAAACAAACTGAAGGACAGCCCCCTTAAAGCTGTAACCCTTCAAACCTCACACTTTTTCAGTTGAAGCAAGCAGTCCAAACAGAGAAAGGAAGCATATGAGGGGAGGGAGCTGTGTCCGTCAAGGGACTCAGAGAATAGGCATTGACGGGGAGTAGAAAACTACTGTTTTCTCTATTGAGGGATACAGATTGATAATAAGCAACCTAGGGACGTCAAAAAGCATTCTAAACTGAGGGTGAACACCAAACACACATGCAAAAACACATGCAAACCAGCCCAAGAAGAAAAAAACAAAAAAAGGCAACCAAGAGTAATAAATATTTGCTTGCAGAACCTTTCAGCAGAAACTAGCACCTGTGTGAAATAAATGGCCTGCCCTATGCTGACACGTGAGTGACAAATGCACAAAAAATGTGCATAGCAAGTGTGAATGGGGTCTTGGAGCCTTTGGCGTGATCTTTGAGGGGTTTTGACAATGAGTAACTTCACATAAAGCAGCTACAATGGTTAGAGATAGCTTGTTTTAAAGCTATTTTACTGTGTGTTCTCAATATTTAATAAGTTTAATGTTCATAGTATGGACAGAGGTACTCAAAGGGTCAGTCCCATCTAAATGTTAAATTTCAGTATATCTCCAAAGCAAGCATTTAAATTGTTATGTAGAGGAGTCACATGAAACAGCCAAAATTGGTTAAAGATAACACACAGCCATTAACAGTGGAAACTTACAAACACTGCACAGTGAGGCCAAAACTTACCGGTCATCAAGGCCGCTGAAACTCTTCACAGCATTAACTAGGAGAACAACAAGCCTGTAGTAAGTTTCTCGTACTTCTTGATGCAGTTCAGCACCACAGCCTTCAAGGTGACCAAAGTAACTACAGCAGAAAACAAAGGGGAGAAAAAAGAAGTTGTGGTAAAAGCCTTTGCATTTAATTTTTTCCCCCTCTAATTTATCCTTCTACATATAGCAGTCACAAAAATCCAAAGCGAACACAACCAATTCCATCAAAAATGTTTATTTTCTGTTTGGGTGACACTTGCATTAGCTACAACTCCAGCATTCCGAACATTACTGTTGTGATGTCAAATATTGATAGAGAAGCTTGACTCTGATAAGGGTAAGGCAGAAATGACAAGCAACACACTAGAAAGAGAATTCACGTAATAAAGAAAATGAATCAAGCTCTTGTTACAATGAAATAAACACTGTAATTATAGCCAACACAGAAAGTCTAATTGGTTAACTTTTATTTAAAAACAAAAAAAGCACACAACAAAACACTGCTCTTCAATTTTTTAAAACTTTTACTTGGGATCCTTCAGAAGATGAGGATAGTGGAAATTATAGGAATATAGCTAGCAGAGTGCCCAGATTAACATGATTAAAGGAGAACTATGGGGTTAAGGCTTTTCCCCATAGTTCTCCTTAGGGTAAGGGGAGGACACAAACTAGCGTCCTGCCGTCACCCTAGGCTCAGTGAGACGCCGCAGTATACCGCGAGCAGCTGAAGCGACTGACTGTGACTGACAGCCTGCTCTGCCTATCTAGAGGCAGAGCCAGATGTACCCGCCCCCTCCCCCGTCCATTTCACCAGTCAGCGCTGGCGGATAGGAGCGGGGGGGGAATTCAGCCGAGAGGTGAGCGAACGCCGGTATGTGTTCGCTCACCTCCCGATCTACTAAGCCGACCTGTGACAGTCTCATTGTCACAGGTCAGCTAGAACTATGAGGTGAGTGAAAAGCACTCACCTCATAGTTCTCCTTTAATGGCTGTGGGAAAAAAAAAAAACTATGCTTACAGACAGTTTACAGACACAACTTTTAATTATCCATGCGTATGGATTCTTATATGCACGTTTTGTCAGAAACACCTGCCACTAACAAAACAAATAGAAAGGGGAATTTGTAGTTCAGCCTGTGGGAACTTTCGGCTGGCGCATTAATATCAGGAGCCACGGCTCCCGACAATTAAGTTAAAGTTCCGGCCCGGCCTGCACTGGAGAGTACAGCAGAAATCAATCCGCCGCTGTATCTACTGTACTCTCCAGTGCAAATAGTTCAGTCTGACTGGAATCAGAGAAAGGTAGGCAGGCAAGGAGATGTGCACTGTGACAGGACAGGGGACACTGATTGATATTATGTATTCCGAGCCCACATATTATCCATCATGTATATCCATCACTGCCCTTCCCTACACAGACCCCCTCACCACCCCCTCCAGCTTCTTCACTGACAGGAGACATTAGGACAGGGTACATTGATGGACATTATCTATTCCAAGCCCACATAATGTCCATCAAATTGTAGATCACATTTTACTGTTTAAAATGTGCATATATACGTTGCTGAATACTGCACAAGTTGTTTTGTGTAATAAAATGAAAATGTTTCACAAATTAAATAATTTTTGGGTCACGACTTAATAACCAAAGGAAAAATGTGGGTCCCGAGGTTACACAGGTTGAGAACCACTGCACTAGATAATTGTATAAGTGTATGTAAAGGCAATTTTTTTTTTAAATTAAGTTACAGTTTTGGATTCAGTTGGAGGGTTAGCTCCCATTTCAGGTTTTATTGTCGTCTTTGTCCCCATTCGGAAAATGTACTCCTCTATGTGAGAAAAAGTTATGGAAATTTAAAACATTAAGAGTTAGCAACACAGTAACACCTGTTCCTAGGACAATTGCTATAGGAATTTTGCTCTAAAACAGGAAGCAAAATCCCCTTAGCCAACATAGGCAGCAAAAAATAACCAGGTTAAGAACCCCTATCTAAAACTAAAAACAAAATGTTTTGGCTTTACATGCACTGCAAAAAAGCTTCAGAATCTTTTTTTCTTCTAAAATGGCAAGTAGGCGGTCGTGCCCGCATTTGATGCTTGTGATGCATTTCTCCTCCTTATTAATTGGCCACTTAGCTTGCCTCTTGCAATCTTGTTCGAGGATACACTTATCAGAGGGTTGCAGCTGTGCCACATCTTTCTGCTGCTCTTCTCTCTTGGGCCAAAGACCTGCAATTACCTGATCAGGTGTCCACTCAATTTATTCATGACTTTAGATGTCTCGTCCACATTGGTGCCCCAGTCATTTAGAATGAGATAAGGTTACTAGCATTTCAAAATCAAACCTGGAGACCATTCCCACTTTTAACCACACCTACAAACTCATGCCCCTAAACAATTGGCCACAAACTTGAAACAAGAGGCAGATATTTAAGATATAAAGACAAAATGCCCTGGGTAGAGAAATTGTTGGTGTGGTGAAATTGTGGTAACCGTGGAAGCAGCTAAAATGGTATGGTTAAATAAAATCTGAGCCTCCTCTCCTATGGATCCAGAGTGACTAGCACACCGAGTGCAGGGGTTAGAAGTGTATAACATTAAAAAAGTGCAGCGGTCAGGTGTGTGCAGCACATGGAGTGTAGGCGTCAGGAGTGTGTAATGCAAGAAGTGCAGGGGTCAGGAGTGTGCAGCGCAGTGTATAAGGTCAGGAATTAGTAATGTACAGGCCAGCATACAGATCTCTGCCCCCAATTGCCCCCCAGTACAGTCCCGCCCTCCTCTCCCAGTACAGACTTCTCTCACAATGCCCCAGTACACAGACGCCCCAGAAAGCCAACTTACCAGACCTCAGATACACAGCCAGGGAACAGTGAGCAGGGAAGTCTACCCCCGGCTGTCATGGGACACTCACATCAGAGCCAAGGAGCAGCTTTGGTGAGCTCTCCACAGCCGCTGTGTCTGAGGTCATGAATGCAGTGTAAATGGCACAGCAGTGCCAACACTTTGTGGTTATGGGGCATGCAACTGCCTGCCCTGCACCACCTGGCAGCCCGGGGTTTGTAAAATGTTACAATAAAACTCCATGTAAACAGATGGGTAAACTTACTTTGTGAAGTCATTTTGACAGGCCAGCAGCTCCAGTAAGAAGAGTACACAAGGAGGCTGAAAGAAATTGGGTTGCCCGAGAGTGTCCAGACATTCCTGGATTATCCTAAGTACTTTCAGAATGCTTTCAGCCTGAGCTTTTCTTAAGGACAGGACCTGCAAAACACTTTAACAACAAAAGACAGTAAAATATTATCATAACAAAATCATAAAAACACAAAACTAGAAAAGCACAGCTTTTTAATAGATGACTGCAACTGAAGAGGCTTGTGTTTAAAAAAAAAAAATGACTTCAATTGTACCCAACTTTTTAATTCTTCAATAAACGATTCACTGAAGCCTCAAAACACCCACATCAGTTAATTTTCGATTATTGCTTGTGCATCCATATTTAAGATTCTTTACTTCTAAAAGGATAATTAGGAGTACATTTATACTGATGAGTGATCTGCTTTGATCATCTTGTGCTAGGATTATTCATAATACCTCCTCCTAAAAGCATTAAGATCTAAAAATAACAACTGGCAAGAAAAGTTCTTAGTCTTTACCTTTCATGGGAAATTGCTGGATCCTTTACAAAATCTAAGATACTCTTCAAAATGGGATATTTTTCCTTCACTGTTGGCAACATCTTTGCCTCCTCCATAGAGCGGAATGAAAGCAGTCTTAGTCTTGCTCGACTAAATGGGGCTTTACGTGTTGGGGTAGGAGGAGGAGAGGAAGGCTCGTCTGCTTTTTCTGATGTTTTCGTTTGAGACCCTACTGGCGTCTCATACTTAAAGAGTTCTGGTTCCTTCTTTTTCTGAGAGTCAGGATCAGGCACTTGACATTTAGCTATTAAATTTGGATGTGGAGCTTCAGGGGAGGCATTAACAGGCGAGGCACTTGAAGCTTGAAAATCTGCTTCTACAATGGAACTCTTCCTACGAAGAGTGCACAACACTCCATTGTCCTCTGTGGAAATCGAGCTCTCTAATGGTAACTTTGATGTAGTAGGCAAAAATCTCAGCAGCAGAAGACTTTTCTGTATGCACTGCTTTGCTGAAATCAAACGTTAAAAAAATAAAGAGAGGAAAAACAAATACAGATGTTAAATCGAAGCTATAGTGTATTTTCAGTGATCATCAGGGTTCATTGCAATGTTGTAAAAAAATGTTAGGGCTGTATTGCGGATACCGATTTGTTTCAATTTCCTCTACAAGCGATCTGTATAATCAGGCAATCAATCAGCAACAATGAATAAAAACCCCCGAGATAAAAATGACAGCTTAATAGATAATGAAATGATTTAAATAAGTCAGATCTGTCCATCAGGCTTGCAATGAGAGGGAGGAATAGTAAGTCACAATGTATAGCAAGGTAATGTGACCTATGTTATGTGCCGTCGTGTACATTTGTAATTACAATCTATACACAGAATCTTTGTTTTTAAACCTTTAACAACAAATTGATATAGATTAAAGCCTGAATCTAGACAAAGCATTCTTTAAAAGAGAACTATGGGGTAAACTTTTTATCCCATAGTTCTCTTAAGGGAGGGACATATACTAACATCCTCCCGTGACCCAAAGCTCAGTGTATAGCGAGCTATATACTGAGAGCACTGCAGCCGGGACGGATCACGACAATACTGCTGAGATCCACCCAGCTAGCTGATTGACAGTGGGCTCTGCCCATCAACAGGCAGAGCCAGCTTTGCCCGCCCCATCTGTTTGTTGAGTCCATGCTGGAGGATCAGAGAGGGGAGGGGGTTAGTATAGTCACTGACAGTCACCGCTCTCTGCAGGTAGATGATCGGAAAGTGAGCGAGCGACAGTATGCGTTTGCTCTCTTCCCGATCAAGAGAGCCGACGTGTGACAGTTTCATTGTCACACGTCGGCTCTAACTATGAGGTTGAGTGAAGATCACTCACCTTACAGTTCTCCTTTAAATTTTGGATAACATGGTGAAAGGTTGTATCCTCTGTTCAGTGTATATTGCCATCGTAGAGGCCACTGAGAAAAAAATATGGTCAGCTCCTGTGTGACCAATGAGGTAGAAAGTATGGGCAAATATCAGCACTTTTCTTAGTGTGGAGAGGAGTGTTTTAATTGTTATAAATGTGTCCCAACTGGGGATGGGGGTTTAGGGGAGTTCCCTCACGTTTGCAGTCACCAAAACTGAAGGTTAGGGGAAATCTCAACAGGACAAAAAGAAATAAAAACTTTACAGTGGTTCTTACTACAATATCCAAAACCAAGAAAGTTTTGACTGGAACGCCACTTTGAAGGCGAAACCACCAACTTTGTAATGTTTTTTAGAAGTGAAAGCGATCAGCTCAAAGTAAACCGTTCTACTCCCCAAACATGTAAACACAGTGACACCTGTATCATTTCCCCAAAATGCCTGAGCAAACTAAACAGCATTATTACGGATAAGCATAATTCAACTTCTGTTCAAAATTTAAAAGCTAAGCCTTAAACTCCAACTACTTCCCCTGGCCACTGACCTATACAGACAGCAATAAGAAATGACTATTACAGGAGGGTAGAGGTGTTACATTCAATAATATGCATGCGTATCCAGAAGCACTGGCAATATGCTTTAGGCAGGCAGTACCCAACAACTAAAGATTCAATTTCACATTGTTCCATCTCTAAAATTCTGTTCCAAAAGAATCTGAAAGCTCTGCAGCACTGAACCTTTATTCTTCAGATGTGAAGTAACAGAATGAAACTGGAAAAACAGTGGACCAAGGATATCTAAAAGGCAAAATCTTTTTTTGTCCCAATTGAGCAGGGATTGGTAAAATCCTTCTCACATTGGGGACATTTATTTTGTGTCCTGTCCTGGAGACACAACAGAAAGTGAGAGGAAATTCCCTCTAAAGCCAGTGCCACTGGAACAGGTATCCGCATTGAAGGACTTCCCCTAAGCTCCCGTGTGTTGTAAAATTTTGGATTTCCATTTTTCCTTCTGTCCTGGCAATCAAGACAAACAGAGCAGGAATCTCCCGGCATGGAGTTACTTTAAGGGAAAGGCAATATATGGAAGTCTGTAATCCATTAAATACGTTTAATATGCTAAATGACTGTCGACCAGCAGATCTTTTCATGCTCACCTTTTGACAAAGAAATAATTTATTTCAACAAATTTCATGGAGGGTTTTTTTTTTAAATATTTTATCAACAAAGATATTTGTGGAATAAAATTACCCTCGTTTGACTAAATGGTTTATGCAAATGTATATTTTCCAAGGATGCAAATTCAGTACCTGAAGATTCTCCACGAGCAGAAAAAAAGTTGCCTTATCCTTAACAAATGGTTTTATACTCTGTAATATTCCATATAAATCTGTAATCAGTAATGTTTCTGCAATGCTCACCCAACATGTCTGGATTCATTTCTGCTCCATCTACCACAAGCTTCTCATTTCCACCTGTATGCAAAGACTTCTGCTTCATTTCAAGCTGCAGGGGACACATTACACAATCAATATAACATTATTATGGTTCCATCAGTGCTGTTAGATGGCAAAGAGAAAATTTAAAATAAAATGAAAAAAAGACTCTTACCATCCATATTCTAATTCCATCTGCCAAAGCATACACCTGAGAAAACTCCTCACATAAAGCAAGATTTCCTCCTGTAAGCACTGGGAGGGGAAAAAAGATGCTCAATTCTCAATTGTAATCTCAAATTGAAATGTTACAGCCACATATTTTTGTTAGTTTCAGACAGTGTGGGGAAAGATAAGAATCCCTGAGGGTTTTTACCGCTATCCAGGGCTCCGTGAGAAATATTATTTCACATACTGTCCCAGTATCAGTATGTTATGCCAGACAGGAAATTAAGCAATAAAAAAGTAAATAGATAAAA